GATTATATAGTGAAATTACATGAATTCTTTGAAAATCTTCTTCTCTGCTCCTGGGTATTAAATAAACTAACTAAGTGCATAGTTATGATGAGCAAGAGTGCCTCTACCAAAATTGTGAATTTTATGGCCCCAGGGTCAGGGGTTCTGGTGTAAGGGTGGGGCTCTATAGATTATATAGTGAAATTACATGAATTATTTGAAAATCTTCTTCTCTGCTCCTGGGTATTAAATAAACTAACTAAGTGCATAGTTATGATGAACAAGAGTGCCTCTACCAAAATTGTGAATTTTATGGCCCCAGGGTCAGGGGTTCTGGTGTAAGGGGGGGGGGTCTATAGATTATATAGTGAAATACATGAATTCTTTGAAAATCTTCTTCTCTGCTCCTGGGTATTAAATAAATTAAATAAGTGCATAGTTATGATGAGCAAGAGTGCCTCTACCAAAATTGTGAATTTTATGGCCCCAGGGTCAGGGGTTCTGGTGTTAGGGCAGGGCTCTATAGTTTATATAGTGAAAATACATGAATTCTTTGAAAATCTTCTTATCTGCTCCTAGGAATGAAATAAACTAATTACATAGTTATGATGAGCAAGAATACCTCTTCCAAAATTGTGAATTTTATGGCCCTAGGGTCAGGGGTTCTAGTGATAGGGCGGGCTCTATTGATTATATAGTGAAAATACATTGAATCTTTGAAAGTTTTCTTTTCTGCTCCTTGTTATTAAGCAGATGAACTACCTAATATATAGTTATGATGAGCAAGGGTACTAATCTTCCAGAATTGTGAATTTCAAGGCCCCAGGGTCAGGGGTACCATAAAGGAGGGGGGTTGTACTTATATACTGAAACTGGATGAATTGTTCGAAATATGCTCCTTGGTATTAATCAAATATTTTTGAAAAGCAAGGGCGCCTTTTCAAAAATTGTGCAATGTGTGGATCTAGGCCTAAGGGTCAGGGGTTCATGTGTGATCGGGGCATTACTGATCATGCTGAATATTACTGATTACTTGAAATGCATTTTTTGTTCCCCTACCCTGCCTATGGGTATTAAGTAAACAAACTAAGCAACTGCTAAGTGTACTGTTATGATGATCAATGGTGCCTCTTTCAAAATTGTGAATGCCATAGCATCTGGATTAAAACATGAATCAAATTCAATCACTGGAAAGTTGTTGCATAATGCTCAGGTGACCTATAAGGCCCATGGGCCTCTTGTTTGTATATAAAGCTTTCACAATGAAGATTCATAATATACATGAATGTCATATATCTTATGCAGCTTTATGAAATGAATTTGTATTTAGCATTTACCAAAGAGAATTTGTATAAGGTATATAATATAAATTATATGGAAGAAAAATTATATAGTATATGTATGTATTGAATGTAAACAAATCTATTGTACATAGTCTGTAAATGTGAAAGCAAAAAATAAATTCTATGAATTAAAAAAAAAAAAAAAAAAAAAAAAAAAGAGTATTATAACTGTGTCTCGGGACAAGTCAATACCACAAGCCAGGTCGTAGGACTAGTGTAGGAGCGTTTTTTTCCCTACATGAATGTGTAATTACTGGGTACTACTAAACAGAGTACGCTAGAGTACGATAGAGTACTTTAGAGTACGCTAGAAAAATTATGTTATTTAATGCAATTAAATTGTTTATTTATGTTTGTACAACTTGATTAAACATTATTATAACCTTATATTGCAATATTTGTTTCAAATATTTGTTTTAGTGATATTTTGACAAGAAAACAACATCCATAATTGAACGCATCTTAAAAAGATTACAATACCCCAATTTCGATTACTATTTTGTTTCAGACTTACTTACTAAAGACTTACATCCAAATTTTATCAAATATTAAATCAATTGCATGTGTGAATATTTTACAAATTCACAATGAGACATTTCAACACGTTCAAGTTAAATTAGATCGCGATCAAACGATAAACCGTAAACTGAAATCAAAAATTGAAATAACTCCTGAAATAAAGAAAACATACAAATTTTATTTAAAATATATATTCAATATGTTAAAATAAAGTAGAAAAACATACAAAAAGTAGTTTAATTGCATTAAATTATAAAATATAACTAGCATACTCTAAAGTACTCTATTGTACTAGCGTACTCTGTTTAGTAGGACCGGTAATTACTAGATATAATTTTAATATAGCAATATCTATCAATATCTACGATTATGGCATTAGCACTGATGAGCACACTCGCATCAATTTCTGTCAGATCTAGAATAATCACATGGCCAGCATTTAAACTACAGAATTAGGATCATGTTGATAGCTTAAATTATTTTCATAGCTTTATATAGTAGGACTGAAACGATACACCCCCTCCACAGTACGATACGTTTTGCAATTACTTGTCTCACAATTCAATTGATGCGATACATTTTAAACTTGTTAAAAAAGAAACTGATCATTAGGTCAAAGAAAACAAATGTATTCAGATTCCAAAAGATACGTAAAAGGTGGTGATACAAAAAGAAAATGCTTCTTTTGCTCCTGTCGATTAAAATAACACATTCTCTGTGTCAATTCTAGCCGTAGCAGCCTGCGTTAAAACTTCCTCCGTCTCAATTATCTCTCTCTAGAGTGTCAAATTGTCCAAATGGGTACAAAGCCGGTCATTTCAAGGGGTACAAATGTAATCTACCCTGATTATAAAAAGATGTATTGAATTGAAAATTGAAGTAGTGAATTGAATATTGAATAGAGAAATTATGTATTGAACAATAGAGAGCTATGTGTACGTGTACTTGTATATATTTTGACCTACACATTTTTTAGAATTTGTTGAAGATTTTTATGACGTGTAACATGTAGTAATACGTGTACACTGCAATCGGTGTCTCTGTTTCAACTATTTAGAGAGTTTTTTGTCATCAGTTAGTAAACAAAATTTGATGAAAATAAGTGCTCGTGAAAGTAAACATCCTATATGATGTATAACAATCACATTTTCACACTTAAATTGGCTAATTTTTATTATTAAAGCGACACATTTTCACTTACGTGAAGATTCCATTCTACAAGTTTTACGAACGTGTAGCAATCTTGACGTCACTAAAATTGATGATGTAATACACACAGAGTTTAGGTTATTCCCCTACTACACGTACCCGTACACATACACGTACGAAATCTCAACTTCTCTATTATCAATGTTTTGATGAATTGTTTCAGTCCTATTATATGGGTACTTTATATAGCTACTGAGGTATTCTCTTTAGTTTTAAGTGAATATCGTGGATATGGGTGAAAGCCTGTCCACTTCTTTAAGAATGTAGGCATCAGAAGCAATTTGAAAATGGGAGGAGGGGGAGGGGGGCAAAATGTAAATGGTAGCCCCCAATTTTTAATGCCTATATAATGTCTACGTTTGCAAAAAAGTGGGGGGGGGGGGGGCTAGGACCAGTCCAAAAGTAATATATCGCAGATACCTCACAGTTACAACCGCTCTTGTGGGCGAGTCAAAAAAACTCAAAATCTCGCAAGATTATTGGGGCACCAGACATTTTTTACAGTGCTTGGTAACAATATGCTGAATGATTTGAACAAATTTATGCCAAAAGTACAATGTATTGACAATGATTGAACTCCAAATTAATAATAGATTGTCAAATCAGGAAATTTTATGATATTTTATAATAAGCTAATGTACTTTCATAAATACCCTACATGTAGATATAAATTGATGACTTCTAGTCCTAGAAACGCAAAATTTGAGGTTTTTTAAAATGAATTTTAGTCATCCAAATTTTCCCAAAATGACAATAATTTTTCCCAATTTGAACGGCCTCGGCCCCAGTCCCAAAAAGTGGTGTGAGAGCCCTGGGGCCATGTTGGCCGACCAAAGTTTTACGTAGAAATATATAGGCAAAGTCTTTAAAAATCTTCTAAAGAATAACAAAGCCATGATTGGTCATTTATATGGCAATATCCTCAGGTTGTGTAGATTCATGTTTGTTCAAATGCTGACCCCCGGGGGCCACAATGGCCGACCAAAGTTTTACATAGAAATATATAGGAAAATTCATTAAATTAGAATATCAAAGCCATGATTGGTCATTCATGTATTTATAACGAAGCATTCTAGAATAGTGTAGATTCAAGTTTGTGCAAATCATACCCTCTCAACTTTAAGGAATGTTTGGGACTACTTTTGGGTTTAAACCTTTCAGTAATTTCTGCTTTTATGTCGCAACATAACTCAGGTGAGCCGTGTGACCCATGGGTTTCTTGTACCAAATTCTGTTTTGCAATACTTAGATTTTCAAAGAGAAGTTTTAACATGTTTAATATAGAAAATGGAAGTACTTAGTCTCTTCTTTATTTTGATATATGAAATGGAAAAGAGGGTGATAATTTATTAATTGATAGAAGGACAGTGTCATTTTTTGCATGAAGTGGCCAGATCTAGCTCTTCTGTATGTCATTCTGTTTTTCTCCAGTCATATGTTTATTCATTTACTTCTTTAAATTGTGTCAGCCATTATGACAATCAGGTAATATAGTTGTTGATCACCAGATCACTTCATTTTAATGCATACATATTTCATAGTCATAGGAAATGAAATGATGAATTTTATTGGTAATAAAACATTAAAATGTTTATAATGCAGCTAAAATATTATTTGTATTTATCTATCACCATGATCATGCAGTTAAACTAATTCTAAAATAGGAAGGAATGAAATCAATAAGAAGGCTTCTGACATGAAAAGGATTTATTTCTTGGTATACAAATTTCCATCTCAGTCATATATAAAATTGATTTAACAATATATTTTTGTGAGATACTTAGGCCCCCCCCTTAAAGAAGGAAGGTCAAATTTCTTTGCTGCTGCCTGTTGGTCAGTTTGTCCAACTCCGAGTGTTTACAGTTTCTGTTCATTTTCTTTGTAGAGGTTGCACATATTGTAATGATATTCAGTATACAGACTTATCATAAAAATATCTAGTCATGAGAAGCTCTGTTTTGGGTATGGTTGAGCCATTTTTGACAGAGTTATATCCCTTATACTGAGATAAATGGGATTAAATCCAATCATTTGAGGAGGGGGCATAGGCGTTCTACAAACATTTATTTCTTTTGGCATGGAATGATAGGAAGTGTAATGTCTTACCATTTTTCATCACTATTTTGACATACCCACATGTGATTTTGTTTTTTATTTACAGGAGGATGAAAGCAATCAAGACCCAGCCTTACATGAACAGACTAGAAGCAGAGTGATAGAGGTAAATTATTATTATTTCATGTATAAAGTATGCAGGGAAATTTTCACCCAAGTTTCAGTGTCACCCCTTTTCCCCTTTGCAAAGAAATCAGTATTATTTCTGAAATGGAAACATGACTCACAGAACAACACGAACAAGTTTAAAACAATGTAATTATTTTCAACTGGTGAAATAGCGGGAAAAAAAATTCCATAAATAATGCAATTATACTCTACCCTTCACATACAGTGTATTTAATTGTTTCGGTGAAGATTTAAGAGAATAAAGGCATTGTAAAATAAAAATGGAGAAGATTTAATTTGAGTGACCAAGGTTCGTCTAGATGTAATCTGGGTTGGCTAGGAATTACTAGTGGTGGGAATATACAATTAATTAAATTGAATAAACTGCAATATTATATATATATAGAGAGAGAGAGTATGTGTTTTACTACTCCACAACCTGTACCCATAAGCACTCTGTACCAGAACATGATTCCCTGATTGTATTTTAAAAACAAAAAGATTTTCCGATTCAAGTTTCTTTTCAGTTTAGTAAAATTATTAAATTTATATATTAATTATAGATCAAAGTCCATAAAAATTTGGTTTTAATCCTTCTACAAACATTGTAGTGTCTACAATCTCAAGTACCACTGGGCCAATTTTAACAAAACTTGGTACAAGGCATCCCTTTGTAAAAGGGGAACTTAAATCATTAAATTTGAAGGCCTTGACCACTTAAAAAGAAAGCCACTTGACACAAAAGCTGGAATTTATGTAGAATCATCCTGGGGTAGTGTACAGATTCAAATACAAATCATGACCCCCAGGGGCAGGACCGGGTCACTATCTTTAGGAGTTAGATTGAAAAATATTGCAAAATTCTCTACGCAGGCACCAATTGGCCATAAAAGTTGAACCCTATGTTGAAGCATTCTGAGGTAGTGTACATTTTGAATTGATTGCCGCATGACTTTCAAGGGCAGGACAGGTGCACAATATATATTACTAAGTGGATAATCTTGTAAGAAACAAAGCTACTAGATTAAGCAATGTGGTCTATAGACCTCTTGTTTTAACAAGTTGACCCTGGAGGGTTATGTGTCCCTGATTTTAGGGATAATCACCATAAATAGGATCTTGAGGTTCATTTTATGGATCTGACGTAAGCATGAAACTAGTGTCACTCATGACTTATGAATACAGTGTGTTATGATTATTGAAAATGAAATACATGTACTGCCAAACCTGTGATTTGAAAACCAGGGAAAGTGATACCAGGTTGACATCTTAGCTTGACCTGGGCAAATAAGATTAAAGTTATGAATTAATGTAGCTGTTTCTTCATTTGTTCTTATTTCCCAGGATATTACAAGTTAATCCCCAGAATTACTAGTAATTTTGTAGCTGCAGAACTGTAGCTCTCCGAAAAAATACAATATGTTGACAGACCGGAGAGCTACAGTGCAACCTATTGAAAAAACTGTATATTTATTGTGCACAGAAAAGTGCAGTCGGTTCTTAATTAATACTTTATACTAAATTTTTACCTCAATTGCAAAAGAAAAAATATATTTCAAAAGACTCCTTACTCCTCTATAACTTATGTGGTTTACATTTGTACTAAGTGCGTTGGGCCTAATCTCGAATACCAAAATGGCAGCATAAATAGGCAAACTTTTCAATGATTTCAATTTCAGGGCCAGTAGGGCTGTTGAAAACAATTTATAATGAATGTTTTATTGTGGAAACAGTGAAAAAATATGTTAGAAACACACGTTGAGCAATATTTTGATATGACACAGTTTTAAAAACATTGAGAAATAAATCGAGAAACAGAGCACTTTTTTTTTAGCAATAAATATGCAGTTTTTCAATATGTGGCACTGTAGCTCTCCCGTCTGTTAATTAATATATATTTTTTGGGAGAGCTACAGTTCTGCAGCTAGTATTTCTGGTAATTCCTAATGTCCTAATATCAGTATTTCCCACCATTTTGGCCAACCCTTGGTGTATTTACACAGAAGTACATTTATTTTATAAATTAGTCCAGAGAAATTTTTAAGTTCATAAAATTTTATAAGATTGTGTTAACATTTCAGGGTTTAAAAGGCAGGAAGGTTACAGTGTTGTACGAGGGATCAGCTGCTGGAAGAGCCTCTACTGTTGCTACCCCCCGCCGTGAGCCGTGCTACCTTAAGGAGCTTACAACAGATGAGAGCGAAGTTGTCGAACTTCAGATGGGGTACTTTAAGGACAACAAGATCTGCACCTCCTCACAAACAGAGAAAGTGGTTGTAATCCAGGATGAGACTGAGATAACAGACCTTCTGGCCAAGCAGAATGAAGCAAAGAAGAGGAAGACTGTGTCAACCCAAACAGACTCTCGTACTTCTTGTGAAGCAAGTGTGCAAACAGAATCCTATGGTGGAGAGCAGTCTTCAGTTCATGGCAAACTAGACGAGATTCTCAGTATTCTACGTGCAACTTCTGCTGACCTTTCATTAAAGACCAACAACATTGCCAATGTAAGCGACATCGTTAGATGGGTAACAGAAAACACATCGACTCCCAAGCCAGGGCTACCATCAATCACAATTGTGCCTGTGGAAGACTCCATCCTGGAAATTCCAGCACGTTACCGCCCAAGTGCAACACCTGTGATAGAAGTAATTCAGGAGGAAGAGAAAAGACCTTCACCTGTGAAAGTTCGATGTTTAACACCACTCAGATCACCACTGAGATCCTCTCCACTTGTAGCCTGCAGATCTTCACCACTTAGATCATCACCTCGCCTTGCCTGCCGCTCATCTCCTCTGAGGCGCCCTACGTCACCTCCAGCCAGCAGCTCCTCACCATCCTTACCATCGCCATCTTCAGCCCGCCACTCTTCGCCATCAAGTTCTCTGCCAGCTCGTCGTGCCTCTCCATTAACAGCAAAGAAGACTCTCTTTGCCGAGGAAAACGTTGATCATGAGGGATCAGAAGATGGTGTTTCCACAGTCCAGGAAGTAGCTCATAGAGTAAACAACAGAAAGAAGAGCAAAGACGATCAGGTTTTGACAGTGCCCTGTAGCTCAACTGCAACAATCCTCGAAATCAAAGATGTCACCGATGTAGTCCCAGGAGATTTTGAATTCAGAATACGACGGGATATCCTTGCTGATGTGAAGTCAACAGCCTGCTCCGATGGAAACTTCATGTGGATTCTGACCAGGAAGTTATTCCGAGAGGATGAACTTGTCGAGAGGAACTTCTTTGGAAGGAAAGGGAGGAAACCCATATCTCCCCGAAGGAAGAGGGCACTAACACATGCTTACATTGCGTCATGTGGAACATCCTACAAGGAATTCACCAAGGCAGTGAACAGCATCAATAACGGCATTCGATCTCTAGGACGTTGATGATTATGATGTTACTGTATTACTACTTTTAGGTTAGTCCACGAAAAGTTCCAATGTTAGAGTTCCAAAGAGGTTGTTTGTTTTAATACTACCACAATTATGTCAATGATTGAAAGTGATACTTATGATTATGCTTTGCAGAATATACTTTTGTACTTCTTGTAACATATGATCCTTTATCATGTTTATATATATGGAGTCATAAGATGTAAATACATATAAATTTACGTAATGTCATGTTTAACTATATATTTATTTATTTGAGAAAAAAAGAAGATAAAAAGTTTTATCTCATTGCAATTTTTTTTTTAATAATGTGGCAATAAAAATTAATGATATTATTGCTGGTTTGCATCATTGAGAGATTTTTTTAAAATCAGATATGAGGTAGTTCAGAGGCCTAGTTGCTATACAATATCTGTGTAGACCAATATGTATGATAGAATCCTTATCCCTAGATAGATTGCAGTCAGATGTACATGTATGCATGTAACATTCGAGATTGTTACAGTAGCTTTTTGTAGCCCCTAAAACATTGCATAGGCAGATAACAAAACTGTATAATTTGTTTGATGTACTCTGACCAACCCTATAAAATGTCCCTAGATTTTTTTTGTTGTTGTTTTATATTTAATTTTTTATTTGGTATCAAGAGAAATACAGTGTTTCATTTTTAAAGTTAAGTTTTACCATTTCTTAAGATTTCAGAATATCAGATATGCAAAGCTGTTCAGTGTTACATAAAAAGATCAGTAAATATCTAAGTTGTAGACTTCAATGACTACCATTAGTTTGTTTGAAAGAGCACCCTTAAGACTGCCACAAAAAATAAAACTGTCCTTGAGAAATATGGGTCAAAGTACATCAAATAATACAGTGTATTTTAAATGACAGCCTTACAACATTTGTAACAACAAGCTGTTGTCGACGTAACAATCATTTTTCCCACTTGGTCCTTGGTACATTACATTTTAATATTTTAAATCTTCAAACGTAAATCGGACAAATTTGATCTGTACCTGTATTGCAACATAATAAACATATTCATACAGAATTTATTTCAGTCTAAAGATATTGACCAATAAAGTTGGTAAGATTATAGAGGGAAAACAGTGCCTTATATGACTAACCCCGCAAAGGGGAATAACTGTTGTTTCTGTAAAAGTCATCTATACTGTACACTGTTCAGGGTATATGCAGGCTGGTGACTGTTAAAATGATGATTCAAGTGGCATATTGTCTTCATCTACAACCAACATCTGATGAAATCTGACCCCTTTTAAACTTGATAACAATGTACTGTATACAGGGAAATTTTCCCCCTTGGAAAAAGTGGGCAAATTTTAAATGGGGCAAATTCAAAGAATACCGTTATACCGTTAATATCTGGAACAGAATTGTGACCGGGCAATATTTAAAATGAGGCAAAACTGTTAGCAAAAGGTGAAAATAAGCCTGTATACAGTATTTACTTCCTCTGAATATGGTCTCCTTTGTACATGTATCCTCAAAATCCCATGGCCCAACTTTGATGCTGCTAAAGCAAGTCACACATACAGAGCTCTTTATTCAAGGAAACATTATAGTGATGTGCATACCAGTAATGAAATATCTTATTAGCATGATAGAGAAAAATATTGCAACAGTCGGTTTTTCTTCCATATAAGATGCTTTTTGCTTGAATTTAATATTGTGCATATATTCTCGCCTACAAGTTGATTGTTTTTTCCCCAATAATACTGAGTTGATATGGTAAATGGTGTTTTCAACAATGAAAATGTAGTACATTGATCTGCACAAATAAAGTATTTTACTTTTATATAAAAATGGTTGCTCCTTAACATGTACACAAAGTCTGAACACATTTTTACACTTCACTGATTTATTCAGTCATGGTTAAATATTCTTCAATCAGTTGTGCAATGAACAATGTAACAATTAACAAAAATAAGTTAAAAACGTACACATATGAAACAAACTCTTTGCATATTTTTTTCACTAAACACAGCACATACATATATACATTACAAAATTTTAAGTTTTCAGCCCCAATATAGAAAAGTTTATTCATTTACAATGTAGTGCCAAAAAATGGTGGTGGTGAAAAAATACATACAAATGGAATCATATACATGTATACAGTAAAACCAAATCAACTATGCACATTACAATTTTCTGTCAATTCAAAGTTATTATGTACAAAAATGTAAATTTCAATTGATAAGGCAAATCACATATCATTTAGAAGATGTCTGTACACTTAAAATTTCCAAAGATTTTAGAATTTCAAAAGAACACTTTCACTCTGGGTGGGGGGTCCTTTTCCAAAAGATCTTTAACATATGCACTGTGTACTTCAAAACCCAGATGCTTCACCGTCATTCAGTACAACATAAGGGATAACCTTGTGGATGTGGTCGATGTAGCGGCCGCACTGGGCAGGAGTCAGGGATTCCCAGAACGCCTTTATCCCTTCAACAAGCTGATCTTTGGTCCTGGGTTTGGTCTTCGTCTGGAGGTAGTATTTCATGGACGCCCACACATTCTCGATCGGGTTGAGATCTGGTGATGAGGCAGGTGTCTCCATAACGTTGTCCAGTACCCCATGGTCTTCCATCCATTTCTTTGTCGATTTCGAGTTGTGCTTGCTGTCATTGTCCTATTAATTAAAAACAAAGAAATAAAAAAAAATAATAATAATAAAATACAAGATTTGAGAGAAATATACACAAGAACATGAGTTTATGTACTTGTACATTTTCAAAACTTCTCAAAAATAAATATTACTTGTATTAAATGTTTGTACTACAGTCATTTTCAAATTAAACATTGAATTATAGCATTAATAATATACTGATTTCTTGCTACCTAAAATTGATTGGCAAAATAGTTTATTTAATGAACATGATGAAGAGTAGTCAGATTACTTACTTGGTACAACCGATATCCATCAGGAAACTTGTCTTCCACAAATGGAATCAAGTTTTCAGCCAGTATGCCCTGGTAAATGACGGAATCCATCACCCCATTGAAAACGCAAATGTTTGTTTGACCTCGGTAGGATATCCCTGCCCATACATGAACCTGAAACACAATACACTAAAATTATTTCACTGTAATACACCTTTTCCTGACATATGGAAAATGGGAAGACTTGGATCTTCAAGACAAAGTTTGCAATTTTATAAACTTGATTTTCATAATAAAGGATATAGTTACATGATATTTCCTTGACGTAAAAAACGTAAAAGTCAGAGTTCATTATCTATGGATTGACAACAATGTTTACATGTACAACAACATTCTCTTACCTTATAAGCATGCTTTGGCTTGGATTTCCTCGCACACTTTCTCTGCAGTTGAGAGCTGTCCTGATGGAAGAAAAGTCTTCCATGAGCGGACATCTCTACCGTGCTCTCATCCACAAAGATAACGTCTCTGAAGTCCTCTTTCTGGTTGAGGGCATTGAGGCACCATTTCAGTCGCACCTATGAAAAAATATGAGGTTTAAAAAATCATTCTTCAATCTTCAGGAAAGTGAATTTCATTATTTAAAGAGTTGAACTTAGCCAAAATGCTTCCAAACTTCATATTACTATTACAGCAGATAAAATAACATGAGTATACAATCTAATATTAAGATGGGAATGTAATATGGTTTACGACTAGGCCTATTTAAAAATCATAATTCATTTTCAACATCAAGTTTCAAACTTCTTCACGCAGCTTCATTTTAAAATTTGGTACACGACCATGATGACAACAGTGTAAAATTCAACACCAAATAAAATAGCTAGAAAACTGTGACTTCTTGTAGCATGATTGACTTTTAAGGACTGTGAATTTTTGCTAAATGAGGCTGTCTACTGAGTTGAATCAAGTTGAAGCATTGTAACCCAAGTGAAAAAAATCCTCAAACAAATCACTCTAAGAAATCACTAATGAATCAGTGATTTGAGGATGATTTGTAAGTGATGCAAATTCCCATGCAAATGAGCTAACAAATCACTCCTAACAAATTGTAAGGAAATCACCCTGAAATCACAACGAAATCACTTTGAATAAATCGTGTACAAATCACTTCTGTTGAACAAATCACAACCAAATCATTCCAAATAAATTGCAAACAAATCATTTCAAATAAATTGCAAACAAATCACTTCAGTTTAACAAATCACTTTCAAATCACTCCAGGTGGTTACACACTTGTGTGTAGGATGCTCATGTAACCATCCCTCAAATATTTAAAACACACATGCATGCATACCGATATTTGTTGTATATGAACAAAAAGCTTTTGGCAAGTGTATTTTAAAATATAAACTTTTACTAGGATGTGTCCTCATTAAGATGGCATCATGTATTTTAGACAGATTCCATGTTCATTCGCCCTAAAAATTGTTCGCCCAATATCCCGTTCGCCCGATTTTTCGTTCGCCCAGAGTCCGATCGCCAAATTTCTCGTTCGCACAGGGTCCGTTCGTCCAAATTTTATATAGAATATAATATAATGAATTTCTTTGTACATTTTTGGTACATTCTAAATAATATACTAGTGGGTGCGTTCACAGTTCTGCCGTTGGTTGACAAAAGTTGCCGTTGGTAAAATTTTTTACCATTGGCATGCCACTGGTACCAATGTTTTTTGCCAATGGTAGATTTTTCTGCAGACAGTCTAGAGTGTGGTTAGTGTTGGTAAATGACGTCACAGCTAGTTATCGACATGGCAACAAGTTAGAAAGACTTTGGGATCCCGGATTTACAATGATATAAACGATTTTTCCTCTAATCCTTTTTAACAAATCATGCCAAAATCACATAAAAATCATATCAAACACTTATATTCATGATTTTGAAGTATGATTTAGACATGATCCATTAAATGGATTATATAAAACTCATAGATATTTCAACTAAAGATATGTGATCCTAATGTGGTTTGTTTGTCGGATATGAGTCTGCTATGATTTTCTTGCGATTCTGGCATGTGCCAATAACCTAGAAGACAAAGAAATCTATAATTCAGTATTGCCAACGTCTCCATTGGACTCCCATTGGTAACATTGGTAAAATTGTTACATTTGTATGCCAATACCCGTTCAGTTGGTACCATTGTCAAATTATTGTACCAATGGTATATTGAAAGTTGGTACTAATGGTAGAACTGTGAACGCACCCGACTGATTGTGCATATGGGTCATACAGACTCATACTAAATACTTGTTGAATGTTGAATTTTCATCTTCCATCTTCTTATAAATCATTTTTTGAGATCAAAGGGAGATTCTTCAGAGGTAAAACCTTCAGGATCCGCTGCTCAGTTCTATATAAGGGATCTATGAACGTCTCAGTCCCTTAATTGTTTTCAAAACATAGCCCAATTCGTAAAAACAACACGGGTGTATCCCCCCAATAAACATTGATATTATAGTCATCTAATTAACCATAGTGCAAACACTAAATCATTGATAAATGCATTCGAATCAAATCAAAAATTAATTAAGACTAAATAAACATTGTTCCCGGTTTGAAGAGAAATAACCCAAGGTCGTAAAGGAAATAAAATACATGTTAATCTTTATTTCAAATAAGTTAATATATATAAGTATATATATAATATAATATATAATTATTGGGCGAAACTTTAATAGGGCGAACAAGATTTTGGGCATAGAAATTTTTGGGCGAACGGACCCTGCGCGAACGGACTCCGGCGAACAGGTAGATCGGGCGAACGAACCTGTTACCTTTTAGACATATACACATGTACTTGGCTACAAATTCAGAATATGATATAAGCATTAATTGTTGACTTTTAGAAGTTGGTAAATGTTTTCTTATCTGAAATAAATATTTGTCTAGACACTTTGAAAAA